GAAATGCTGAGGAAGGGTACCGTGAAATTTGTTAACTTTCTAATCTCGGAAGTTGCCAGAATAAACACTAATTTCATAGTAAAGGGAATCTTTCTTTTTGGTAAAACGATAAAATTTGTTCTTTTCTCTATTTGTAGTTTTATATCTCTCTCTCTATAGTGTGCATAGAAAGAAAAAAAACATCAAATCAAGTATAGTACAGAAAAGAATATATACATACATCGTCATTCTGTTATACCATATTCTTTTTCTCAGGCATATTGAATAATACTATTCTCAATTTTGTTTCCAATCAAAGTACCGGTGAATTTATTCACTGGTGAAAATATTCACCGATGCGAATTTTGACGGCTTCCCTAAGAGGGTGTGTCTGCTGCTTTCAGACGTTGTGCCAGAGCAAGGGAGGTGGTAAAATAACGACGAAAAAAAAAGCACGCGTTTCTAATTATGAAACCGAAACTCTTTATATAACTGAGGGAGTAGCACACCACCTCATTCTCGTTGTCATTGTTTCCCGAGCAGAATTGTATCTAAGCTTATATCTAAACAGAAAACTAAAACTACAGACATTTTGCCAAAAGCTGGGATGTTTGAGAGATCTTTTTCTACTTGTCAGTCAAGCAGTATTCGAATAAAAACAGAATCGACATTCGAAGTGTTTAGTCTGGCATATGTGTTTGATACTTTAGTACGCGATTTATCAGCAGGAACCAGATTTCGTCGTTCCACGTCGTCTGTGCGGATGAATAATGCCTTGCCGGCCACCGTCCCTGACGATGACGAACATGAAACATACTCTGTTCATATTACGAATTTATCCGACGATATTACAGCTGAATATCTATCCGAAAATCTTCGTTATTCAATCGGTGATATACTCATGAACCCCTCCGAAAATGAATGTTGGATACGCCGTTTTGAACGAAAGTCAGTGGCCGATCAGTTAGTAACAAACCTAAATTCCAGGAGAATTTGTGGAAAAGCGATCCAATGTCAGACGGAAATCGAACAACAACACTTCTGTAGAGATTTTCGAATTGGAAAATGTAGAAAAAGCCATGATCAATGCAACTGGAAACATATCATGTGCATTGCTGATAGCATCCACTGTCCGTTCGATTGTCCTTACGGACATCGACAAAACATTAAGGATGAAAAATTGCGTATCAGACAGAATGGTGAGTGGACTATTAGATCGGCCATTGATAAAGATGAGTATAAGTATTAGCCTAATCGTTTCTTCTCGTTATTTATTAAACCAGCTGACCGATACTTTAGCTCATCTCGATTCATGCTGTTATTTTTAAATATTAACGTGTTCTGCAGCTACAGCTTTGTGGGAAGCGTAGCTTAAGATTGATTTTTCGATAACTTCAGGCACGTCAGCCTAAGGTATTTCAAAAGTATCTTGTTTGTAGCTCCTTTTCTGCCTCCATATGCCTGTCGAGGTAAAATATGAGCACCTGAATCGTTCACGAAGAGGAGTTATGGAGCTTACAAGTTTCTTACCAATCTTTGTTCGTGGGGAACGTTTTGAGTTAATTCTTTTACCAAAAGTTAGATAAACGAATGCTCTAACAGAAACAAACGATTTCATGTTTCCACGTTTTGGGTGCCTTTCACCAGATACCGAGGTATGCCAGTGATATTGACTCAAACATCTTTCTCTTTGATATCCTATTGGCTGTCGAGGATCCCTATATAGTTATTTGATTTAAGCTTTAAGCTTTAATCTTGAACTATAACAAAATCGAGAATATAAATTCCCATTCTGAAATTTAAACTATCAAAACACAAAATTAATCCTTGTATGAAGCTAGAATCGAACGTGATCTTTGTAGATGAACTGCAAAAATCAACTTCGCTGTTTTTTCCTATATTCTGCACAATGATTGAAGTTCTGCAATGACTCGATGTTATCCTTCAATGTATATTTTTTTATTGTGATTTTTGTGTTTTATTTTTGAGAGGCAGTTATCACCAGAATTCAAGTAGAAAATTTTCAAATCAACAGATGATGCTACATTGACTGGGTTTTTGAGACGAAAAAGTTTTTTCATTCAGATCCCAATTACAATACCTGGTTGTATTCCTAATTGAATTCTTGTGACAACTGCAAGCAAATATTTGGCGAAAGGTTGTCCAGTAACTAAAAAAGTACCAATCGATCACGATATTTAATGATTCCCACTTTTTTCAGTTAGATTTCAATTTGACGCGAAATTCAGGAAACTCTGTACCAGCACACATTGTTCTCTATCCCCATGTGGATCGCTAACACACAGCACGATGTTGCACCGAACAAAATTTTATTTTCAGCGTCACCGACATACTTCGGTATTCGGCAACGGCATTCTAAATGTAAAAGTTTGAAATTGTGTGTTTCTGTTACAGTATTCGTGCCTCTAACTTTTGAAAAATCCACTATAGAAGATGATCGGCAAGAACTTTTAAGTGTGAAAACTAGTGCTGCGAAACTTGTAAGCGCTATGCGCGGTGATACATTCAAATGCATATTTTACTTGAATATACTAGACAGAGGGACAAACAAAATGATGTGTAAACAAGGTACTTTTGAAGCATCTCACCGGCTGACCTGCTTGAACTTATGGAAAAATAATTCTAAAATGAGAAGAAACGTTTGACGTAAAATTGAAACATATGTTGGGAGGATATCTAACGCTTTAGGTTAAAACTAATCGACTATTTTATATTTGGCTGAAGGTCCTCTCGAAACTTATTGCATAAAAATATTTGGCCTTCCTCCAAATCTATCTCCCTTCGAGTTAGCACGTGAACTTGGTCATTCAAATAAAAATCAATGTCGAATTAGTGATACAGATCCGTCAACAGCAACAATTGTGAATCAAAAGTCACTGAAATATGCAAAACGCCTTGTTGAACGTTGCCACAACAAAGCTTATCCCGATGGTTATATCATAAAGTGTCAAATAGAGCTGGACAAACAAATATCACCCAAACGTTCCACTTTACTTCTTCATCCGGCACCTGAACAAGTGGAGGAAAAGGAAATAACAATGGAACACAAAGTTGTAGATAATGTTCATGTGGGATTTCTTCTCCTAAAAGCATCATTTAACCAGCGTTTGATTGACTATCTAAGTAAAACATATAGGGTAAAAGTCGCCGTCGAAGAATCACCGACATCGAAACTTGTAACAATTAAAATAACTGGATCGGAGAAAGATGATGTAAATGCAAAACATTATCTAGATCATTTATTTGCGACTGTGATCACAATCACTTATGACGAAAAAGTTGGTATGTAAACATCTAAGAAGTAATTAAGAGACGTTTCGTCAGGCCAGTGAAAAGCAAGCCACGCAAAAAAGGTTAACATATACTTTCTATGATGCCGTTTGATTTTCCTATCAAAACTGTAGAAAAAAATTTACGATCCCAGACTTCAAAAAAAATACTCTTCATAGCGACTATTATAGCCACTGCGCACCAGATGCTGTCTTTGGGAAGTTAGCGCGATACGAGCCCGCATGTTTGAATTGACCTTTCGTCAGCCCATTAGCGAAAAAGCCAATAACATTAGTTTTTATGTTATTTTCAGTTTCTACAATTAAAACCA